ATGCTAAGAAACTAACTAAAATGTCCATAGCCTTGACTTGGATGCCCTACTGCTGGATTCATGCCCAAATGAAGTCAAAGACCAAAAGAAAGGTCCTGTTTTCACCACAATATGTATACTGACACGTTTATGGTAGCAAAGAACAAGAAACAAAGTAGTTGCCCTTCTGCTGGGCATGAGTCATGGGGCATGGATGTAATGGAATATCTCTGAGCTGTAAGAAACAATGTCCCTAAAGAATCCAGATAAGCATTGACAGACACAAAGTGAGTGGTACTGAATATTGCACAATTACCATGACTAGTGTATGAAAAAATGCTCTAAATCACTATTGATTAGAGAAATGCAAATTAAAACAACTCTGGGTTATCCCTTCACACCTATCACATTGGCTAATATGACAGAAAAGGAAAATGATAAATGTTGGAGAAGGCTAATATGACAGAAAAGGAAAATGATAAATGTTGGAGAAGATGTGGGAAAATGGGGACATTAATGCACTGTTGGTGGAGTTGTGAACTGATCCAACCATTCTGGAGAGCAATCTGGAATTATGCCCAAAGAACTGTGTATACCCTTTGATCTGGCAATACCAACAGTAGGTCTATATCACAAAGAGATTATTAAAAAGGGAAAAGGACCCATTTGTACAAAAATATTGATAGCAGCTCTTTTGTGGTGGTAAAGAATTGGAAAATGAGGGGATGCCCATCCATTGGGGAATGGCTGAACAAGTTGTGGTATATGAATGCAATGGAATAGTATTGTGCTGTAAGAAATGATGAACAGGCTGACTTCAGAAAACCTGGAGAGACTTACATGAAGTGATGCTGAGTGAAGTGAGCAGAACCAGGAGAACGTTGTACACGGTACCAGCCACATTGTGTGATGATCAACTATGATTAACTTAGTTAGCTCTTCTCAGCAATACAATGATCCAAGACAATTCCAAAAGACTCCCGACAGAAAACACTATCTACCTCCAGAGAAAGAACTGATGGAGCTTGAGGACAGACAGAAGAATACTATTTTCACTTTTTTGTTTTATGTGTTTTTTTCCTTTTTGTTCTGTTTCTTCTTTTACAACATGACTAATGTGAATATGTGTTTTGGGTGATTGCAAATGTATAACCTATATCAGCTTGCTTGCCATCTTGGGGAAGGGGAAAGGATGGAAGGAGAGAGGGAAGGAGAAAACTTTGGAAGTCAAAATCTTTCAAAAACTGAATGTTGAACATTGTCTTTACATTTAATTGCAAATAAAATATATTGAATATACATTTTTAATTACCATGATTGGCTGGCTGTATGAAGGAGGACACTATCCACCTTTAGGGATACAGATGATAGAAGGAAATAAGCATGTTACAATCTTGTATACATGTATGTGAGTGCATATGTGTATATATGTGTTTGTTTATAAATATATATGTATATATATGTATTCACATTTAATTGTAGTCTTCTCTGAGTAGGGGGAGGGGGGAGATAAAATAAAAAGTGCACAGCAGAGACCAAAGACAATTAACAAGGAAGCAAAGAAAAGCTGGGCAGCTTTGAAAACAATGTGCACTATTTATTCTATAGGTTTTCTTGAAATAGAAATTTATTGTTTTATGTTGAATCCTCTCTTATAGTCCTTAAGTTTTTTTTTCTTTTCTCATTTTGTATTTAAGTTTAAAATTAAAAAAAAATACAAAAAAATGACCATGCCTGGGCCTGGCCCTGAAAAAGTGTCCAAACTCAGTATTTTTTTCTGCTGGGCCCTATTGAGAATACTGCTACAGAATGCTGTCCACACTCTCAGACTCAGCTGATACGATCCCCGACCCCTCCCCCCACTTGGAACAAGTATAATGGGATCTGGGGGATGTACAAAGTTCATCAGCCTGCTCCAAAGAAACAAATTCCCCAAGGGGGGGGGGAGGGTCTAGAAAGCCAACTTTTAGAATTGTGGCGCTGTTCAACGGAAGTGTCTTGGAGAGACTCTGGAGCGCTTGTAAACATTCTACAACTAGCTCTGGCTGGCCTGCCATGTGGTAAATCTGAGACTTCTTGACTATGGAGATATTCAAAAAGTACTAGTGACCGATGCCTGGGCCATTTTGGGGGACTGCTCTGTCTTTGCCTCTGCATTAGTTCTTGGCTGTTTTAAGTGAAGGGATTGGAGACTCTGACCTTGTGAGTGTTGAAAGGTCAGGAGTGAGAGCATCCTAGACATCCTAGTATCTCGGTTGTGCAGCCAGCCCCTTCAACGCCCAAGGAGTAAATAATGAACTTGGAGAGTGATTGTCTGGATCCAGTCCAGTTGCAGCTGAGACAAAGATGCTTCTGGAAGCCATTCCACATCTGGACATGAACTTGGTGGTACCAATGCTGCAGAGAAGCTAAGCTAAGCCTGAACCTACTCTCCCTAGAGACTAAGGTGAACTAGAAAAGCACATGAGAAGCCAGGTACTGCAGGGATAAAGCACCAGGCCTGGAGTCAGGAAGATCTAAATTCAAATTTGGCGTCAGATACTTACAAGCTGTGCCACCCTGGGCAAGTCACTTTACCCAGTTGGCCTCAGTTTCCTCATCTTTAAGAAGAGCTGGAGAAGGAAGTGGCCAACCACTCCAGTATCCTGGCCAAGAAAACCCCAAATGGGGCCATGAAGACCTGACTGAAAAATGATGGAACGACAGCAGAGAAGCATGTCCTTTCTAAGCATTGAGGGGAGACAGCCATAATTTTGTCTATCTTCAAAGTAAACATTTCTTTGTAATAGCTCATTCATGTTAAGTGGTTAAATAGAAGCAGGGGAGGGGGTGCTAGTTATTGGCACCTAACAGTAGGGAGGAACACAACCAGGGTGGGCTTGGGTTAATAGCACGAAAGAAATTACCCCTGCCCCCCCAAAAAAACCTACCTCAGGGTTCCCAATAGACTCCTGTTCTGAGTAACTGTCCCTGCTTAGGGTGAGTGAACTAGAGCAAAGTCATTACTTAAGGCATGGCAGTTTGGGTAGGAGAGGTCAGAGGGATGTATTTGGAAATCACTTAATCATTAAGCATACAGTAAGTGCTTACTAAGCATCAGCACCATGCTTGGGTGCTTGAGAAAGGGAAAGAGAGGGGGAGAAAAAGGAAATGGAGGCTACCGGGAGTAATAGACAAGGCACAGAACTTGGAGTCAGAGGGCTCTGAGTTCAAATCTTGCCTCAGACTCTGGTGAAGCCTCAGTTTACTCATCTGTAAAATGAGGAAGTTAGACCAGGTGTTCTCTGACATCCCTTCCAGCCCTTCATCTATTATTTTATGATTTTATGGCATTGGAGGAGGAGGAAACCCAAGGTGACTAGCATTTATACGCAGCGCTTCAAGCTCGACAAAGCACTTTGCATGTCATCTTATGTGATCCTGAGTACAGCTCTGTAGGACATTCAGAGTGTGCTGTGATTATCCTACTTGACAAATGAGCACACTGAGACAGAAAAGGTAAAGGACTTGCCCAGGGTCACACAGCCAGAAGGATCTGAAGCATGCTAAGAAAATTGCACAGTACCTCAGTGTCCAGAAGCTGTCTATTGAACCCATATCTGGAAAACACCTCCCACTTCAACCCCCTCCATAGTCACCTAGTCTTTGCTTAAAGATCCCTTGTGGAGTGGGAGGGGGGGTCACTAAGTAGGTAAGAAGCTCATTCCACCTGGAGACATTTCTCATTGGAGGAAAGGGCTTTTTGTTTTCCTGGCATTGAGCCTAGTAACAAAGTTAGTATCAGTTTTATAGACACTTCAAGGATTATTGATTGCTGAAGGGACCTTGGAGAGTGTCTAGCCCCACACTCTTATTTTATTGGCAGGGCATGGAGGCCAGGAGAAGGGCAGTGATTTACTCAGGGACCCACAGGTAGTAAATGGCTCAGAGTCAGTTTCCACACACTAGTAAAGTGGATTAATAATATCTGACATGTGCTAACTCTGAGACATGAAGGCCAACAAAGTGTGTTTGTGAATGTTTAAGATCCTGGCAGAAAGGTGCTCTAAACTTTCAGTAAATCATTCCTTCTGACTGAACTAGAAATGGTTTCCCATAACGGCTATTCTAAACCTTGAACTCCCTCCTCCAGCTGCCTTTTCCACTCTCAAACCCCTTACACACACACACACACACACACACACACATGTGCACACACATATGTACAAATGCACAGAGATGAGCCTACTCCTAATTCACTGAAAGGACTGAAGACATACTGTCCTTTCCATTCCCTTCCCGTCTCCTCCAAACTTCTCAGGATCATCTTTCTTTCATTCTGTTTTTCTGCTCTTGTGCTTCAGATTTCTCCCTGTGGCTCAACCCTTGATCTGCCTCCTCCCCAGGACCCAGGTTCACCAATTACACCCCTCCTCCACCCAAATACATCTTCCAATTCTTCCTCTCCCCAATGGCTTTTTCCCCATCTGCCCACAAACTTTCAATTCAATTAAATGAATAATTATTTCAACAAGTCACATGCTCAGGCCTTCTCAACACTGAACAGGCTTGCTTTGACACTCCTACACTATTGAGCTGATTTCTTACCTGTCCTTTACTGTTGAAAAAGCTGTCTGCACCTCAGCCCCCACCTCCAAACCATCCACTTACGGTCTTCAACAGTGTGAGACCTGACCTCCTATTCCTATTCCTCACCTGAAACTGTTCCCTCAAGGTCACCAGTGACCTCTTAATGTTCATGTTATCTCCCCTAAAAGAGTGTAAGCGCCATGAGAGCAAGGAGGGTTTCATTTTTGTCTTTGTATCTCTAGAGTCCAGATCCGTCCTTGGCATCACAGTGTGCTGTTTAGTGTACTAAACTTGGAATCAAGAAGAAGTGTGTTTGAATCCTTCATGTATCTCCTAACGGGGTGACCCACCTCATTTAGCCACTCTGGCCCTAACTTTCTTGATCTGTAAAAAGAATGGGTTGGGCTCATTGACCTTGAAGACTTCTTCTAACTTTAGAACTGTGATCTTACCTGTTACTTGGTCCTTTTTGCCCCCAACACAACATTTAATCAGCATTGCTATGGCAACAAAATATGGAACTCCATGCCTGGGAAGATCCAATGAGCATCACAAAGAGGCAAAGGAGAGAGGCATGGTGGGTACAACCAATGAGGAGCCCTGAAGGAGAACAGGCCTGAAGCATGTCATCAAGGCATTATATGATAAGAAGAGAAGAGAGATTAGCCACCTTGCAAGGATGAAGGATGATGGGTGGGCAGTCAGAGCACTTCCCTGCTGTGCTCTTGATATATGCAGAAAATCAAAAAGAGCCTCCAAAATGTTGAGTGGAATTCCCAAGGTAAGTTTTGGGGAGGACATGGAGCAGAGTCATTTAGGAAGGCAGACATGAACAGACCGGCATCTGACTTCTTGGAGAGACCTCCCACATTGATGAGATCACAGTTTCCTCAGAATGCTTGATCAGCTGATGATACCTAAACCCAAGGGCCTTTCCCTCTCAGATCTCATCCTCTTTGACCCCTGTTGACTACACTCTTCTTCTGCCTCTCCTCCTCCTATGGTTGCCCCTCACTCAGAGAGCTAACACTCCCTCATTTCTCTTTCTACCTTTGTCTGCTTCTTCAGTCTTCTTGGCTCCTTAATATTAAAAAAGTCCACAAAGCTCTGGCCTGAGGCCTCATCCATTTTCTCCCAGCCTTCACATCCACCTTGACCGATTCATTCCCTTTCAAAGTCTTCAGTTTTCACCTCAATGTAGATTCTCCCCTGCCCTCATCTCCCAGTGTCCCCACCTGCACCTCCAATTATCTGTGGGGTATCTCTGTGTCCCACTGACACCACAACAGAGGATCATAGGACCAAAGATTTTTAACTGGATGGGACCTAAGAAGTCATACTCTGAACCCCTCTCATTTTACACATGAGGAAACTGAGGTTTAAAAAACTGAAGTGACATAGCCATGAAGTGGCACAGCCAGGATTCCAACCCACAATCTCTGACTCCAGTCCAGATCCCTTTTTTTCTGTACTATATTGCCTACATGGAAGCCCCTCATGTGTTTCCCTGCTACGTCCAATGTAACAACCAATCCAGTTTTCCGGGCACCTTATTTCATAGCCTGGGGAAAGGGGCATTTAAAAAATGACAGCAGGACTGTTCAACCTGAGCTCCGTTGAATCTAAGGTCGAGGAACGTCAATAATGATATTCAAGTTCTGCTCTGGGTCACAGATGCATGACATCAGCCAATCACATGTGGGCAAAGAAGAGGCAAACAATGACATTGTTTATGGAAATGGAGAGGTTTACGATGGCAAACCAGACCAGGTTACCACACCAAGTGTTTAGAAGAGATTTCCTTAAGGACATCAGACCTAGTAAATGATGTATATCATGCAAATGTTGAAATTGTGCAACATATCCCTGAAGGCTGCAGCCATCTAAACCCTAGCAAACACCTAGCAAAACAAAATCTAGTGGCTGTAATTATACAGCAGAGGCCACTACTTCTGGTGGAACATTAGAAGGTAAATCCCCACACTACAAACGTAGACCCCAAAGCATCCTGGGGACCTCAACTAGCAAACTGAAGTAGAACATTGCAAGTCACCATCGTGGACCCAACTGTTGCCCGTAATTGCTCAGGGAGAACATCGACTCTTAGAAAAAGAGAACATTTTAAACATGTTGCCCATCCCCAATACTCAATTAGCAAGCTACACAGAATAAAAAGTCAGAAAATCCCACACTGACCTTCTGAGAAGATCAAAACTCGGCGACCACAGGGGGAGGCCCAAGCTACCTCCATCGTAGCTTGCTGCTGGAGGCTCAGAGTTACTGCCCATAAGCAGACAAAAGATAAGCTGATATCCCAATACTTCTACCATTTGCCAAAAGCTATCACATTATCCATCTGTGTGTGCCCCTGTCCATAAGAAATGAAATAGAAAAGAATGACAGAAATTTAATGACGGCCCAGGATTGTTTCCATTTGAACTCCGTTGGGAAAAAAATGAGTAGAATGAGATAATTGACATTGCAATGATCATCATCATCATCATCATCATAGCAAGAACAGCTCACATTTCTATAGCTCATACTATGTGTCTGGCACTGTGCTGAGTTCTTTACATTTAAGATCTTGTTCTATCCTCACAACCACCCTGTGAAGTTGGTGTGATTATTATCTCCATTTTACAGATAAGGAAACTGAGGCTAAGGGAAGATGGACAATTTGCCCCAGTTCACAGAGCTAGTAAGTGTCTCAGGCAAGAGCCTGAGGCTCTCCAAATCCAGTTTGATCTTCGGCTTTGTCTCCCTAGTGCCTAGCACAAGGAATTGAACGCATCAATAAATCTAGTTGAGTTGAATTCATCTGAACCCAGGCCTTCCCACCTCCAAGTCTGGCACTCACTCCAAAAGTTTAGTTCTTCAAATTATACAATAATAAAAAGACTTAACAACTTTGAAAGACTTCAGAACTCTGATCTGAACAAGGGAACCCAGCACAGGTCCAGAAGAGTCATGATGAAACATGTAACTCACCTCGAGACAGAGAGGTGAAGGACTCAGAGCACAGATTGGGGCACATATTCCTGTAGGTAGACACACATATCCACATATCCATGCATATATAATATACATATACATATATCTACATGCGTATGTATGTATATATACACACAAATACGTACACTTGTATGTCAACATGGCTAATGCAGGAACTGGTTTTGCTTGGATATACCCTCATGTTGCAGCATATGTTTTTCTTGCTTTCTTAATGTGTGGGGAGGGGAAGGGGGGAAGAAAAGAATTCATAACAAATTGAGATAAAAGAAAAAGACTTTAATTCCTGAGGCTTTTTTTTTAGTCATTTGGGGTTTAGCAAAATGTTCTGTGTACTTTCCCTCATTTTCCCAGAGCGTGAATCTAACAAAAAGATTTATATCTTTCTGAAGATAGGAAATATCACTTTTCAGCACTGCTGTGATCACACCCAAGAACAGATAAAAATCCTATTACCTAGAAGCCATCCCAGGGAAGGTTATGGCTACGAAGACTAATTCTGTGTCCTGAGGGTGGCATTGGTCCAGAGCTGGATACACAAGGTGTGAAAATTGCAGCCTCTTCCCCCGTCCAATGGCCCCATCCAATGGGGGCATTGCACCCCCATGGAGGGGAGTTTTCTGTCCTTAAGAATACAGACCTTCATAAGACAGAAATGTGTCACCCTCCCCCCCCTCATGTTCTCCGCTAGACTCATCCTCTCTGGCCTACTGTCTCTAAACATGGCTCTGGTCCCAGTGGCTGCTTATTTCATTCATCTGGTTACAGAAAATGTTCTGCCATGAATCAACCTGGATTTCCATAACTTGGGGGCCTTGTCTGTGTGGTTGTCCCTCTCCATCACTAAAGTGCTGAAGGGAAAGAGGCTGGGCAGCTTCGTTCATCACAGGATTCTTATTCTCCCATAGAGCAGAAATTCAAAGGAAGCAATTGAACAAATGGGTCTCAAGGGGGCCCATGTGCCAGGCACTGTGGTAGGTACCAGGGGCACAAAGACCAAAATGAAAACAGGCCCCATCCTCAGGGAGGACTGAACCAGAGAGGCACAAGGGTCCCTTCTTTTCTAGATTCTGAGTCCGAGAAAGAGAAAAGTTGGACAGACAAAGCTGAGAGAGCTTAACCTTAAACAGTCAATAACAAATTTCTAGAATACATTCTGGGGCTTCCAGGCAAAACAGAATGCCCTTGCATTTTTTAAGGTCCTCTGCCGAAGGATATAAACATGTTCTGGGGGCTCGAGGCAAAGCTGTTTGTCCTCAGCTGGGACAGCAAATACTTCCTGAATCCATTCATTGTAACTAAACAGTGGTAAATATTTTCCCCAGATTTTTATTACAACCTTAATTTTCCAACTGTGACTAGAACATGGAATATATGAAACAATTACAGTCAGAAATGTAAACCTCATCTAGTTCTCCATCCTACAGAAGGGCCCCAAACCTTCCTGGAGAATCTGTTTCAATTGCATCCCTGTGTGCTTGTGAGACCAAGCAAGGATGCCATGAATAATGGCCTGTTTCAACTTCCTTTCAAAGACCTTCTCTCCTGTCCCAGGTGCCCCACTGGTCTGGAGCCATCAGCCATAGAGCCTTTACCCATCAGACCTCTTGAACTCTAGGAACAAAGGCTTCTGGAGCTTTTCATGTCTCTCAGAAAGACTGATCATAGGATAGATTTAGGGAGGGAACCACCTCACTTCCAGCCATGTTCCCCGGGGGGCTGTGCTCTCTGGGGTCTGGCCCAAAACTCAAGCCCCAGATGCCTTTTAAGGCCCCAGTGCCTGGTCTCAAGATAGGAGGTGCCCCTCACTAACACACACACACACACACACACACACACACACACACACACACACAAAGGAACTTTTCTTTCAAAGCTAATACTCAAATATACACAGTCCTGTCCAGCTAGAAGAAAGCTAGGCTGCCTTCACCCTTGGAGTTGGGTTCCATAACGGTCCTGCCCTGGTCAGCTAGAGATATCCATGGGCTTCAGTTCATCCTAACAACAATCTGCCCGGGATAAAGAGACCGTCTTTTCAATGAGCTTATTCTCATGATGCTGCTATGTGGCTACAAATCACAGCATCCAATGATCTGTGGGCTGCAGGCAGTGATGGATGCTCAAAGGCAGAGGAGAATGGTGCGATTGGTGCCTACAGACTTCAGTATATAAATAGAAGTGACAAAAACATCAGTAAGAATATGTGTGACTAGAAAAGATGGTGGACCAGCTCATGTGGCTTCATGATGAAGACAAAAGCACCCTGTATTTGGAGGGGGAGTTTGAACCCGTCTTTGCCACATAATAACCAAACAGCCTTAGTCAAGGAGCCTCTCTGGATGGGCCTGCATTTCCTCTGTACAATGAGGGCATTGGAGTAGATGATTTTGAAGGTCCCTTCAGCCCTGTGATTCTTTAATCAAATATATCAATCCTTCTAACTTCAAATAATTTTTAATGCTTTACTCATTAATAAATGG